CAGCATTTATGAAAATAATTGAAACAATTCATATTTAATGCATTTTCAATTAAGTACTTTGTTCATTTTTAAATGTAAGAGTTAGATAACTTATTTATAGATATTAAGAAATTAATTGGTTAAATTATTTATTTATAAATTTAGAAGATAAAGTAAATCGAAATCTCACTTTTATGACAAAAGTAGACTACTCAACTAAATCCTACAATTAGACTTGGAAGGAGAATCAATGTCAAATTGATTTACCACCTTTGTAGCTACTTGATTTGATTTGAATTAATTTAATAAATTCTTTTTTTATAATTATATCATATAAAAGTGGTGTGAAGAAAAATATCCCATTGACCCACAACCAACATGAATATATTCACTCCACAAAAACTAAATAAGAGTTTGATGTTCAACTTGAACCCTTGAACATGGATGAATAAGGAATTGAAGTATTAAAATATGCAACAAAGGTTCATCAAGCCTTTGATAAGTTTGTTAGTTCAATGAAAAATTTTAAAGAAAATCCACTCTCAAATTCAAAAGTGTAGAATTATAGTTTCTCATTTCTCAAAATTAAGTTTGCATAAAGATATATTCAAAAATCCAACTTAAAAGCATTTAATGTAGCCTAAAGATTCAAAATATTAAATACTAATTTAAATGAAATTCGAAAGATTCAACTAAATGGACATGAAAAGTCAAATCTACCACTCACATAAAATATAATCACCATATTAAGCCAAAATTTGATTATTGTGTCTAAATGAAACTTGTAGTACTTGGTCTAAGCTTCTAAATTGAAGTCTCTAGATCCAAAATATTTTAGTAGCTCTATTTTCAGCATAAATTAAATTGATGACATCCTCATTATTTTCAATCAAACTTGATGATCCAATTACTATTTATTTTGTCAAAGTCTCTTGCACTGGCCCACTTAGTGCTTTCTTAATTCTTTTGGTTCTTGCTTTAGTTGAACTTGAAGAGACATTATTTAAAATTGAAGAGTTAGCCTGTTGTTTCTCATAAAAAAAAAAAAGATATAGCTTGATTGAAGAGGATATATATTTTAAGAAAATTAACACATATTTAATATCAAAGGAAGCATTTGTTTTGACAATCAAACTTGTTATCACATTGTGCTTGCGACTTTATAGTTTCTGTTGGTTATTATTATAGTGTGATTGTTTTGGTGGTTGTGAATATTGGATTATAAATATGCCCTTGCCCAAATATTTAATGAAATATTTGATTGAATTAAATCAAGATTAAATTAATCAATAATGAATTTAATATTAATTAAATTAATTTGACTGGATAAATTAAAATATGATATTTTAAATTTATCTTATTCAAATACAAGTATCTTATTCTAAATCCTTACATATCCTTTTTATATCAGCACTCATTATCACAAATGTCAATTTATAATCATCACCTCAAGTGAGAAAGTTGCCTTTTGAAATACGATATAATCTAAAATTTACATATAGTAAGCTTCATTTTAAACTGGGGATTTGGTGATTTTTCTTACCGCAAGTTATGTTATATTTAAAAAATGTTTTAAGTCCTTGTCAACTTTAATCTCAGAGAAGAAGTGAAGAACATAATTCTTCTCTCCTTTTGTTGATTTGGCAAGGTATATTATACATCCTCAGCTAAACAAAACATTCACTTGAGATGAGAAAAATGATCAATTTACACATTTTATCCAAGATAATTACCTTTAAACGTTTTGTCTTTAATTCTATACTTATCATTAATGAGTTAAAATAATTATCAATTAACATTATTTTATAATATTTGAAGCAAAATAAAGCTGTAATAACTTGACATAAGTACCTGCAAGCAAGTTTAACTCTTAAAGCGCAAAGGTGATATAGGGTGATTGAGAGGAAACAACCCACTTGGATCACAAGTGGAAGCAACAGTGTTAAATTTGTTGGCACAAACAACCACCTTTTGAATGGGGGATAATTACTATGAGGTTGTAAAGAGAGAAAATAAATACTAAAACATCCAAATGACAAGTGAAAAGTTATCATTTCTTACACTAAACTTATCAATGCAGGCTGCTTTGTTGTTATTAGGAGTTTTTAGTAATTATATTCCTTTTTTAGGACTTTATATAATTCTCTCTTTAATTGGATTGTCATGATAAGCTCTTTTAAATATAAGAATTAATAGAAATATATGATTAACCCTATGTTTAGTATGAGAAAAATAGAGAGCAGAGGAGGAGAATGAATAATGAGCTCAATTTAAAAAATTAAAAAAGCAGGATTAAAAACTTTTAATTAATTTTCTCATTATTTGATTTTACATCTTCTCTCTAGTAAAATTTTATAACCCCACTTTTTCATATTTTTTAAAAATATAACTCATTAAAATTTTTCATCACCTCCCATTCCCTCTATTTTTCTCATACACCAAACGTAATGTTAGTTTTACATATAAAATTTTATAATTTTCTTTTCAAACTCTTCTTATTAATTGCACACATGAGATTTTTTCTTAAGAGAGTAGTTATTATTGAAAATAATTAAAAAGGATATTTCACAGAAACTAATACATTTTTTTAAAAAAATTAAATTAACTAATTTTCTTAATTTTGGTAGAGCACAAATTAATTATCTAATTTCTACGTTTAAAACTAAAATTAATGTAGTATAATGACAAAATTGACTGATCACATTTGAATAGGATTATTAACTAAAAATTGCTCAATAAGTTGGAGTCTCTTCCCGAAAATAATTTCATTGAATACTACAACTTTTATAGTGAGTATTCCATTGGACTCAATTCATTTTAATGAAGTGCTAAATACTCTCTCATATCCTTTTTACAATAAAATATTAAAGTTAAATCTTTTTTTTTTTTGAACAAAGATAAAATGATATTAAAACGGCAGAATTTTACACATTACAGATGGCAAGAACTCCTAAACGAAAGGAATTAAAATTAACAAAATAAGACTTAGAAATAAATTTAACACTATTAAAATTAAAATTAAAAGTAAAACTATGTAAAAGAGCTAGGATATCCTGCCAGGTTATATATATCAAGGGGCTCAAAGATTAACTTGAGATGTTAAGGAGTCTTTTCTTGGTCCTAATTATAAGGAAAAACAAACCCTTATTTAAAGTATTTATTACAATTTTTTCTTTATACCCTTTTTAGAAAGGATATTTGTTAATGAAATTAATCATTAAAAGTCACCACCCACAACTATTCAATGAGGGTATTTCAGAATATAATTTATATTTATAACATATTTGTTGATCCAACCAACTTTAACTCCACTTTTATAAAACGTATAGGAGGGACTAGTACATAATATGAAAAATTACTTAATCTTAAAAATTAATTTTGGCAATTAATTTGAAACTTGATTAATGCCAATCCAATCATAATAATGAAAATTATTTATACTTTCTGAAATTTTTAGAATTAAAACTGCTTGGTTTGTTCTTTAGCCATCCCTCGTCATCGATATAAGAGAGATCCAAGAACATCTTGAATTCCTCATTAGTCAAGTGTTTCATCCACGGCACTCGCTTTGACTTATTTGCCCCTGGTCCTCTGTTACCTTCCTCTACAAATGTGATCTTTTTTCTGAAACCATATATATGGAAAACATTATTTTTCAGAGTAAATGTTCATGGCATTTTTATGTATAATACATAAATATAAAATATAAAATTGTGAGAAAAATTTAAAACGAAAATTTTTTTCCCACATAATTCGATATAAAATCTGTTGCAAAATATTTATGACAGATTTTGCAATGAAAGTTTTGCGAATCCACCGAAAAAAAAACATGAAGAAATTTTGTCAATTCATCATGAAAATTTTGATGGCATAATCATGTTACGATGATTTTTCTTGTTTTTTGTCGCAAATTTTTTATTTTTAAATTTCATTTCTTTTTGTTGTAGCAAATATATACAATTTAGATTAAAAATGAGCGACGTAGATAATTATGGAATATGCTACTTTTAAAGGCAATAATAATTTTTTTAGTTATTTAGCTTTTGTGTTTTATTTCCTTTTATGCATTCATCATTTTAAGTGAGGATAAAATTCCTAAGGTTTTTAACTCTAGATTTTATCTTTTCTCCCTAAATAAGATACTTAAATGTGGTTATACAGCTATCATTGATGCTTACTAAAAATTGGGAGGAGATGAATTTGTGTAATATTCACAAAATTAAAGAAAGTTTTGCATGGTTTTAAAAGTAGAGCATCGATACTTACCTAAAATAATATAGAGAATAAAAAACATAAACAAGGTTTGGGTACTTTAATATTTGTCTTATAGGAGGTTTGTGCAATTTTCCGAAAGTATAGGATACTTATAAATGATTTTGGCAAAATCAAACAAAGTATGAAAATAAAATAAAAGGAACATATAATTAACTCTAATAAGGTTAACCTTACAATGAACCTCCCTAAATTTTTACATTTATGTTAATAACTCTTGTATGATTATTTTTGTACATTATACATAAAAACAGTAAAGCTGAGGAGGTATATAATTAATATTTAGGGATTATCAGCACAAATTTGAAAGCTCATGAAGATTTATTCCCAAATTCTAAGGATTAATGGGTTGTTTCTAAATAATATAACCCCAAGTTTGGGACGTTTTATGTGGTTTATTAGTCTCTTAATAAACTGAAAAAATAAATAGTTTAAAAAAAGTAGGGTTAATACCATCTTTAATCTCTAGATTTTATTTTGATTTTACTTCCTATAATTTAAAACCAGTAACTTTAGTCCTTAAAACCCTTGTTTTAAGGGCCAAAAAATTGTTCTAGGGACCAAATTTTTTAGGTAGATTAAAATAAAGTTAAATTTTAAGAACAAAAACCACTAATTTTAAATTTTAGACATCAAAACAAAAGTAATGTCAAATTTTAAAAACTGATTAAAACTTATATTAACCCGAAAGAAAAGGTATCAAAAGAAGGTTAATATAATCAATGCGGAAATCATGTAACATAGAAGTCTTACAGGTTGTGCTGATTCCAAGCATTCCAACCCACGGGGTCAACCACACGAGAGAGATAGGAATTGGCAAAAATGACCCTAGAATATGCGCCATAAGCTCTGCCAAGGATGGCTTTTCCAATTCCATCCACGTGGCATCCATTGGACACATATCCATTTGTTTCTTCAATGTATTCTCTCTTTTGTGCTGCTATCGCACCCTCCCGACCATCTGGCCCCGCTTTAAAATAGATTGTGCAATTCTACACCCAAACACACATAAAACTAATCAATTCTATTTTACCATTATCAATATATCAATATTTCAATATTATTCTCTTTTATAAGATACTCTCTCATGTTCTTAATATAAGATATCGTTTAATTTTTATCTTGGTTCTAAATATAAGACTCCAATTCACTTTATCTCTCATATTTATTTATGTTTTTAAAAGTAGTCTTTCTAATAATAGTAGTTCGAACCAATATACTTGATTAGTAAAGATATTTTAGAAAATACAACTCATATTTATAACAAATAATTAACTTAATTTATTTTCTTAATCTACTCAAATTAGTCAGCTAGTTTTTATATTTAGGACCGGAGGTAGTACAAATATAATTGAGTTATGGAATATGTTATACGATTTAATTTATAAGTTGTGAATATGTTACTCATCCGAATTTGGATATCATTGCATGGTAAAATACTATAATTGTTGTTGGGTTGTGGACTTATTGGGGCACTACTCTTGATTAACCATGGGCCAAGCCCAATTTCCATCTTATTTAATATTAATTTAAATTTAAATTTAAATAATAAAGAAATTATGCAATACAAGGTCACACTTTATTTTGAGGAAGTATGGGCGTTGATTTAATTGTTGGGCTTTCAAGTTCTATGCTTTTCTTTTTTTTTTTCCTTTTTTCTTTTACCTTATAGTTGTTTTTTATGTTTGCTGGTTTTTTTTTCCCCTTACTTTACAGTTCCTTGAGCTAATAAATTAGCTGTTCAAACCTTTTTTTTTAAATGCATCGTTTTATTTAGTTAGTAAAAAAATTGTCTTTCATTCAAACAAAGTGTATAATTTTTTCATTCATATTACTAGCTAGGTAGAGGATTGCCATAGCTGACTGGAAAAAAAAAATTGTTCCTATTATGAAATATGAAATGGATTATGAACTGCTTGTGTGGTAAAAGTAGGAATTGATAAACTAGATACTTAACTGTTTTAGAGTCCTGTTTTAGGGAAGGAACTGAAATTTAGATGTATACATAAGAAAAGTAGCGTGGGGAGAAATTTCTTTTGCTTTGTTGTTTAATTAGACATAGTCCGAATAATGATAACTTTTATATTCTTAATCACCCTCCATTTTCTTATCACGAGGAAGCGAAAGTTCATGAAGAAAGTTAGTTAGTCTTGTTTTTGCTTTGTATTGATCTTTTGAATTAATGTAGTTTAGTGTTTACTCAAAAAAAAAAAAAACAAAGAATCCTAATAAAGAGGATGTTTCACATGGGTTGCATACTTGTATAGTTGAATTCCAAGTAAGTTTATTATCACTACAAAAAACTTGACTTTTAGTGGTGATAATAAGTCGCTATTAAAAAATCGTTGCCACAACAACCGTGACTGAAAACTTTCAGCAGCGATAAAAAAAGTCGTCACTGAAAGTCATTCTCAGTAACAACTTTTATAAGTTTTAACGACAATATTTGTTACTTGGTAGTGACTTTTTTGTCACCATTAAAAATATATTTAGCGGCAACAAGCTGTTGTACTTTTAGCGGTGACTTTCTAGTATTGCTATTGAAACTCGACTTTCTGTGACTTTTTTTATTGTTACTGAAAGTAGTTGCCTAAAATCTTTTTTTTTTTTTTCATATCCAACAATTGTAATGAAATAAGGAGCATAAATCCTATTATGCAAATGTATATATCAATATAAAAGAAAAACACACACAAAGATTAATCAATTACCTCATAGAGGGATTGGCCTTTTCCAAAAATGAAATCAGTTTCGCCTTGAATGTAGCAATTATGGTAATAATGGCGACCCGTATCATCCATTAAAGTGTCTTGAACTCCTTTGAAGACACAATCATAGAATGCGCTTTTGTCTCCTCTTACTGCTCCTGCTGATGCTGGCAGAGTTCCCTCTTCATCTCCCCCCGGCGGATGATTATACATGTTCCGTTCACAAAATATCCATTCATTCCTCATCATATTTCCTTTATTTCATTACACTTTTTTTTTAGTAACTTTTAATAATGTAAACATACAAGGATATAAACATGTCAATGGTAGACTTAGATTTGAGACCTCACCTAAGTAAGGTGAGAAAAGTGAGAAATGGGTCTCTCCTCTTTCTTTCCCATTCTTTTCCCTCCTTCTTTGTTTTTTTTTAAACCTTTATATCAATATTTCAATAGTTTAGATTTTAATTTTGACTAAAGTATATGTTTTGTCCTTTAACTTTATATGGTGTTTCAATTTGGTTTCTTAACTCTTAAAACAATATATTTGGTTTTTTAACCCTAAAATCGTTAGGTTGCAATGATCTTTTTTGTAACAACTATGATTGTTTTAAAAATTAAAATTAATATGTTAGTATTTAAATATTAATGTTATCATTTTTGTTAACGATTTTAGGGTCAAAAGACTAAAATTATACTTTTTAAACTTAAGGGATCAAATCAAAACACTCTATAAATTTAAAGGACTAAATGTATATTCTAACTTTTTAATCTTTTTAAAATCGTTATTAAAAATTAAATTATAAAAATAAATAATAAAATATAAACTACTAAAATTTAATTTTAATAGCTTACGGATGCCTTAAAAACTTTTTAAAATATTTTCTAAATAAGTTTTGAAAATATTAAGATATAAATAGTTGAAATGTGTCAATTTAACAGTTGGGAAAAAAATAAAGGAGGAAAGAGGATGGGAAGAGAGACACCTTGCTCAGGGTGTTTAATGTGCATCTTTCTATTGCTTTTTGTAACGGCCCAACTTTTCAAATATTTTGTTGCTTGTTTCTTTTCATTATTCGATTATACATAAAATAAATGATATTTTATGTCTTGTGATAATAACACATTGTAGTTTTGAACTTTTACAATTTCTTTTTTTAAAAAAAAATCAAAACTACACAATTTTAGCGTAATTTTTCTTTAAAAAATATAAAAAATTTAAAACCACATCATTTTAACGCAATAAGATATCAAAATGTTGCTCCTCTTGTCTTAAATCAAAGATCTATTTTATAATGTAAATTATATTACAAAATGAGTTTTATATTTAAGCCGGAGAAGTACTGATTTTATGTAGAATCTAGTTATCAAAAGAAATAAGAAAAAAAACATTTAAGAAAGTTGGGATTGAAAGAGCATTAGAATCTAATTATCAAAATGTTACTCCTCAAGCCCAAAACCTACGCTACCATTGGGGCAGCTAGCCATTGACCTATGTCTTTGTCCTATTAACATTGTAGTTCTGGTGCTGAGGATATTTTGCATATCTTGCGTGATTGTTACTATGCTGAGTCTCACTGGATCAGCTTGATAAGTCGCAAACATCATTCTTATTTTTTTACTGCGCCTTTATGTGACTGGATTAGGGCAAATCTTAGAGGAAATATGGGTGATGATGAAGAGATGGAATGGGATCTGTTATGGGGAGTTCTGTTTAGAAGTTCTGGATACGGAGGAATGAATCTATGTTTAATAGTAGCTTTGTTAAGCCTACTTAACCATCCTTTGTAAATAAACATAGCTGCAAAAATTACGTTCTGGGCCCAAGCAATTTGAAAGTTTCGAGTCAACCGAAGTTTCAGAAAGTACTAGTTTGGGTTCCGCCTCCTTTTGAATGGACTAAACTAAATGTGGATGTGATAAGGAATTCAGCACAGGCAGGACGGGGGGGTTCTTATTAGAGATCATAGAGGACATTGGATTGTGAGATTCTCCCACAAAATTGGAAAGTGTATTGTTTTGGCTGAAGCTTAGGCAATGTACAAAGGCTTGAGAATGGCTTGGGATTTTGGCTTCAACTAGATTATACCTGAAACTGATTCGAAGGAATTGATTGATGTAATATCGAAGAAGGAATCAAGAAACAGTGCTTCTCTCATGATATTGCAAATCCAGAACTTGCTGGACTTTCAGTGGCGAGTTGAGCTAAAGTATGTTTCTCGAAGGGGGAATGGAGTGGCAGATGCTCTTGCAAAATTGGGAATTTTTAAGTCCTCCTTCGATGATGTCTGCGCTGATGAATTAGGGGCTTTTGTGGAGAAAGAGACTCTGGGGTATAATCCCCATCTATTTTAATTTTCATAGTTTGGGCCTTGTCCTCTTTTGTACCAAAAAAAAAAAAATTTACACACACGCTTAAGGTAGTATTGAATTGTATAATGAATGATTGAATTAATTACCTGGAATGCGATGCCCTTGGCTATAACGTTAGGTGCATTAGACTCAAAAGTATAACTTTGAGCTGTTTGTTGATGATCACTCCATTGAACAATTGTAGAAGAACTTCCTGCTCCTTCAAGAAAAATGCATGGTTTGTTCATTGGTATTGTCACTTTTTCCCTGCATTTCCAATGCGATGAAGATTCAATTAGACTAAACTGGCCGGTTCAACAGTGAATACACGAACCAAAACTCTAAATACGGTGAAAATAGTATTCCTCCGGTCTTTAATATAGGATCTAATTATTAAGTTAATTTTGGTCTCAAATATAAGACCTATTTTTCATATTTATTAATTTTTGTTAAATTACCCTTATAGATACTCCCTCAACCATAATCAAGTAAGTAAGGGAGGAAGGATATTAAGAGAGATGATTATGATGTTTTAGAAAAAAAGTCATATTTCTTATAATTAATTAACTTACTTAACTTCATTAAACTAATCAAATTAGTTAAATATGTCTTATATGACTAGAAGAGTACTACTAATAAAACCCGTGCGGTTCAAAATTGGTCAAAAAACAGTTCTATATATAGTAGAGTATGATATTTTTTTATAAATATATTAATAATTTAATCATGCCTCGTTTAGATAAATTACTTCAACCAACCATGCACATTCATGAATGAAACACCATGACCGATTGAATAGTTGGTCCAATTTCAAAAATAGTATCATTTAATACTCAACATTTACCTTTTACTCCTTCCATATTTTCACCTAGGAACTAGTTCGATAACGAATTTATATAAATTAATAAAATGAGTTATTACCAGAAAAATGTATGTTGGTTTTCCTACAATATCCCTCCATGAAAACTATTCTTATTGATTGCACTCATTAGTATGTGCAATCATTATAAATAATTTGAAAAAAAAAAAAACAAGTGTGAGAGATAAAATGAATTAAAATTACACTTTGTCTGTTTGGTACGAGAGAAATGGATAAGAGGAGATGAAAGGAGAAATTTCAATGAGTTCGCTTTTGTTTTTTAACAAAATAGAAAAGGGGGGCTACAAAATTTTAATTAAAAAAATGCAAGATAAAAAAAAAAAAGAAAAATCAATTAAAAACTTTTACCCCCCTTTCATATTATTTTAAATTAAACTCATTAAAATTTGTCACTTCATTTCTCTCATACCAAACAAACCTAGATCAAAGCTTATCTTTCGACTAGCTCTCATGTTTAAGACAAGAGCAAATATAACAAAATTCGTAACAAACTGCACTATTTATAAACCATAAATAATGCAGCGCATTGTTCGAACTCCCTCAAATGCACGAGAAAACGTATTTAGTGTGTGTAGCAAATCACATTGTTAACAAGCTGGCAAAAAAAATTCACATTATTAATAAACCAGCATGAATATTGTGACTCGCGTTGATCCTCATAGTCTATACACTGCAAAAAAATGTCAGAAAAAAGATCTTACGAATAATTTCCCGCAGAAATTCGTATGTGAATCCATCCAGTGTTGTGGATTAGAATGGAGTTAATAGCCCTCTGGATTGTTCTGAACCTTCCTCGTCCACTTTTACCAACAATAATAACTTTCGAAGGATTCGAACAATCCTTCGCATCAAAAACACCACTGAAAATTATAAGAAAAATGAAACTGAGAGACCGAAATTGCATATTTGATCTGTATTTCTTCCTTTCTCACAATTTTTAAGTCTACCTGAATAGTTGGTTGTGTCAATATGTCTGTGGAGATTACTGGGTTTTAAATAGAGAAGCTAATGGTAATAATTTGAAGGGAAAATAAATAATTACAATGGATTCTGTTGAATTCTAGACAATAAAATTGAGTAATTTTCTTACCATTAATCATCAAAACCAAATGTGTAAACTTTGAAAATGGAAGTAAGAAAGGAAAATAGTAGCCTATTTTCAAATTAAAATTTAGCAGTGTTGGATGTTTTGAAAATTAATGGTTATTTCAAAAGGAATTATTACTACGCTTTAATTATATTAATTACTGTTGGCAAAGAAAATTATATTAATTACTATAACCTCCATATTCAAGGCCACTGATATGTTAACCTATATATAATCAAGTCTATTAACTTTTTCCTAACCATTCTACCATTAGACTTCAACGGCGCATTCATTAAGTACATTGAATCACAAATTTTCAAATGTTTGGCTACATATATGTGCGCGCATGTTGACTTTGACTTTAATTTAGGAAATAAAGAGATGAATGCTTTTATCTAAAAAAAAGGATACATTCTTCTCTCTCTCTCTCTCTCTCTCTCTATATATATATATATATATATATATTTGACAAGCTAGAAATGAAAAAGAAATAACAAGCGACTATCTAATAGCAGTCATCTCAACAATCCTCTGAACTGAATCAGGCCTGATGACTTGGAGACCTATCCTGCAGTTGAGAGCTCGCTTCACCATGGCATCTGCCATATGAATGGAGTCCCGATCAGTGATCTACAAGTCAACTTTCCACTCCCTAGACAACATATTCCTGATTTCTTGAATCACCTCCCAATCTTCACGAAGTTTGTTATCGCTCCCTGTGATGGATTGGATAGCTTCAAGAGAGTCACATCTTAGAATGATGTCTCTCTTACCAAGGTCCCAAGCTCATTTCAAACGCATGAGACACCCCCACAGCTCTGTTGTCAAGTGATCTCTGTGAGACAGCTTAAACAAGAAGCCTTCAAGGAGCATTGAATCCTCTCCTTTTAAAATTCTATCGCAAGCTGCAATGTTGTGGTGCACTGAGAAGGCACTATCCACTTCTACAATGGGTTTGCCAGACCATTAATTATGCTTGTGAAGGCTAGAAGGAGGTAGGTTCTTATTTATGTTCACTCCATGAAGTTTTCTACTGGTGGTAACCATGCAAGACGCTATCGCCTGAGTTCTCAGTCTGATAGATAGGAAATCTTCAGCATAGTTTTGAAGGACCATATCATTTCTCGCCCTCCATATAAGCTAGCACATGATGAAGAATAGGCTTTTCTAGTCACCCTCGCTACCCCCGGTTTGTCTTTTAATGTTAAGCATAAGCCATTCCTAAAGGTCGGTGTTGAAAAAGCGTTGGCGATATTCTAGTTTCATGATAAGCTCCCAGAACCTCTTCAGGGTTGGGCAATCTCTAAATGCATGCGTCTTGATAAAGCCCAATTTTTATATATTTTATCCCACATTAATTCAGGATTTAAATGATAATTTTGAGCTTAATTAGATTTTTTATGCATAATTGGATTAATTGGTTGATTTTTAGATTTTGCATAAAAATTGAGATTTTGGATTAAAAATATAGATATTTTGTGATTTCCTATTTCGACTTGGAATTAATTTTTCCTATTTCTTTGGAAACAAGTCTCATATTTTTAGAAAGACTATTTTTAGAAAGTTTTGCACTTTCTTGCCTAATTTTTGTGCAGATTTAATATTTAATTTTTTATTATATTTGGATATAATCTACATTAATGGATGCACTTAAATTCTTATAGGTCAAGAAAGAGTATATGGGAAATCCAATGGTGCAAGATTGTTTCTTGGAATTTAAGCACAATCCAATGGCTAATATCAAGTGGGTCAGTTAATTACTAATGGGCTTGAGTTTTGGATCCAAGTAAATTTCCTTTTCTCTCCTAAAATAATCCCTCTAGCACGCCTACATATCACTCTCTTTCCATCTCCATTCACACCATCATCAACCCAACGTCAAATCTTCCCCTTTCACCGCTACTCCTCTAGCCTCACGCCCTTTCCCATTTTTTATTTTTTCATTCCATATTCAACCAACGATCATCATCACCTCTCATCATCATCAATTCACATCCTTTTCTTTCTTACTCCACGTACAACTCCTCACCATCACCTTCAATCAATTCATGGCTATGGCATCTAACAACCTTGGAAGAGGAGACAATTTGATGGAAGCTTAAGCTTATAGGGAGGCAACTTGGGAGGAGTATGGAGGAAACTAGAGCCTTGGGCTAGCACTTGAAGACCACAAGGGAGTGATGTTTCATTTATCTTTTTAATTCAAGGACTTGAAATTGTTTAGTTTTAAATGAGTTCAAGTTGTAATTTTGTTGAGACAATTTAGTTCTAGATTGTCAATTTTATTCTTGGATTAAATTGATATTTGGATCTTATTTGTATCAAGATACTTGTTGGAATTTATGTTTAGAACCTTTGCATTGTTAATTGAATTTATAATTGAGTTTTCATTATGAGTTTAATTATCAATGTGGTTTGAATTGGAAAATTTGGGTTCTTTCATCTCTTAATTGTTTAATTAAGTTGGTTGATTATCTGATTGTTTAATTGGATAATTTCAAACATAATTTCCAAAATTAAATTGAATTATCTTCATTGGTTTTAATAGGCTTAATTAACCAACCTTATACTATTATGAGTTCTCTAATGGTTTAAAGGTTTTTGAAGTTAAGGGTTTCCTTTATTTCATGTAGGTAATTAAGTTTATTAATTCCACTCTCTTATCACTGTTCTTTGGTCTAATTAACTGATTAAGGTTATGAAGGTTAAATCCATGCAAATCCTAAGTTGTCCCCTCTACCGTACCTGAAGAGAAATCTCTGAATTTTTACTTGCTGATTCCCTTTGCTTTCTGATTAATTCTCTTTATTCATTATTTTTATTTTCCTTCAAAAAACCCCCCAAAAATTATATTGCATTCATTTAGTTTAATTTAATTTTCATATAGATTTTAGGACATTTGCATTTTGCATTTAGAATTAGAATTTTGCATTTTAGTTTGGGTCCACTTTATTGCATTTTTTTTTATCACCTAAATTTTCACCTAAAGAAGCCCACAACTTGCTCCTTGGAAGTAATGACCTAGGTCGATCCTAAACTACAAATTAATTAGGACCTAGTTTAATTGAGTGCTTTGACGACAAAAAGCATCATCACGTCTCATCTTCCTACTCCAGTTTACACATCTCACACAGTTTGCTTTGATGCAAACCCTGTTTATGCTTTCTTTTATTGGTAACCAGCTGTTCATGTAGCAGCAGCCATGCGAAGGTTTTGCATTGTTGGGGTATTTTTAATTTCCATAAGCTTCTCTAGTTTCTATTAGGTACCTCAGTGCTGGGGTTCAACATCAGATAGGCCGAATTAGTGGAGAACCAGCCATTCTTGTTTCCTTTCCATCGAACACCATGATTCCCTTGACTATCCTGGGTCTCTTGCAGTCCTGTCTTAACATGGCTCCAATTGTTCTTGATTCCTCTCTATGTCTTCAAGTCGGCTCGTTTAACGTTTATGTGGGAAATTAGGTTATTCCCACAACCATACTTGTTTTTGATCACTTTGACCCAAAGCAAGTCCTGTTTAGTAATGAGGCCCCAGCCAAGCTTCATCATGAATGCTTTGTTTGTTGTTTGATGTGCCCCATACCCAATCCTCTAGATTGTTTTCCATACACACTCCATCTTAAGAGACAAGGTGTATTCTACGTTTCTCATATGAGGAGCCCCAAAGGAAATCACGAGCTTTTTTCTCAATCAGGTTGCAGGTTCCATCAGGGATATATGCAATTTGCATAGCATATGAAGGCATGGCATTAATAACCGAATTCACAAGAGTGTCACAACCCGTGAAAGAAAGGTTATTGATTTTCCAACTACTTAGTCGCCTCTTAATTTTATCAATGATGTACTGATATGTCTCGTTAGAAGCTCTCACATGATGGAGGGGAACCCCTAAATACTTTTTAAGGTCCACCGTTTAGGTGAAATCAGGTTTGTGGCTAAGCTTGGAGGCTCTCTTATGGTTCACGTTGGCAGAGACGTACACCTTGGTTTTTGCTTGATTAACTTTCTGGCCAGAAGTTATGCAGAATCGGTTTAAGCATTCTTTAATCACTTCCACTTATTCTAAATTGGCTTTTGCAAAAATTAACAAGTCATTAGCAAAAAATAAATAGGAGATAGGAGGACCAAACTTATAGATTTTGATGGGTTTCCATCATCCTGTGCTCACCTCCTTTTGGATATTGTGGTCAGTTTTTCGATACATATAACAAATAAATAAGGTGATCAAGGGTCCCCTTAGCATAGGCCGTGAGTAGGTTTGAACTCATGTGCTTTGTCACCTTCCCAAAGAATTCGCATAAAAGGAGTAGAAATACAAGAAATTATAACCTTTTTAATAAAATCTGGCATGTTCATTTTCTTGACGTAGGTGAGAACAAACTTCCACCAAATGTGATCGTAGGCTTTTTCAAAGTCAATTTTGATCGCCATGAATCCTTTTTTGCCTTTCATATTTTTCATTGAATGGATTACTTCCAAGGCAATAATTATGTTGTCTAATCTTGTACGACCCGGAACGAAGCTACATTGGTTAGGGGCAATCACATCCAGTAAAAATTTCTTCATTTTGTTGACTATCACCTTTAGTTGTAGAGGCTTATTGGTATGAAGTCCTTCATAGTTTGAACGTATGGTTAATATCCTTAACAATATCAGGATTCACGAAAGCTTTCTTTGTAACATCTAAACTTTTGGGCTTAAAAGTACTAGAAATAACCTAAATTGGATAGGCTACTAGACCCTTTTTTTAGTAGAAGTCTCAAAGACGATA